TCCCTCCACTCTGGCAAACATCAACTTGTTCTCTGTATCTATGGGTCTGTTTTTATTTTGTTATGTTTAGATTTCACATATAAGTAAAATCATACAGTATTTGTCTTTCTCTGACTTATTTCACTTAATACCCACTAGGTCCATCCATGTTATTGCAAATGGCAAGATTTCTTTTTTTATTTTATTGCCAAGTAATATAAAAACGAGGCCATTCTTTAATCTGAAAAAGTGAGACTTTAAAAACTCTAAATAGGTTCTTGAAGTATTTTAGCAAATGTAAGGATTGTAGATCCATTCAGGGTAAGGAATTATGGTCAGGTACACTGATGGACCCAGTTCTTTACTCTTCCCTATATTAATGTCCAAGATTATGTAATTTCGCAGTGCCACCCCGCTGAAGGTGATGTGACTGTGTTCTTCAGCATGTAAGTTACTTTGAGCAGAGATGTTAACAGACATGATGCAAGTGGAGGCTTGGAATGAACTTGAACAATGGGGCTTGTCCTTTGCTCCTTTGCCTTTGTTATGAGAACATGCCTGTGCTAGCCAGCTAAAGAATGAGGGACACATGGAGTAGTTGTCCCAGCAAAAACCAACCCCCCAAAGTTGTAAGCCAATCTAGTCAAGATCAGCAGAGCTGCCTCGCAAGCTCCAGTGATTCCAGGCTCGTAACAATAAACACTTATACCATTAAGGTTTTTGGTTGTTTGTTATGTAGTATTATTATAGCACTAGGTAGCACGGTAAAGGAAATTTGGGTCGTATTTCAGAGTCAGAATATGGGGCTTGTCTGCCTATGGATCTGACCTAGCATAGAGATTTTTAGATCAAGTTGTGTGAACATACCTTAAAACAATGGAAGGCGTCAAAACTTGGTTAGTGCCCAGCCAGCGTGGCTCAGTTGGTTGAGTGTCATCCTGTGCACCAAAAGGTTGCTGGTTCCGTTCCAGGTCAGGGCACATACCTGGGTTGTGGGTTTGATCCCTGGTTGGGGCACCTGTGTACGGAAGGCAACCGATTAATGTTTCTCTCTCACATCGATGTTGTTTTTATTCTCTCTCTCTCCCTTCCTCTTTCTCTAAGTATGTCCTCAGGTGAGGATTTAAAAAATTTGTATTTAAAAAAACAAAACTTGATCAGTGTAATGTCCCAAAAGCTCCCTCCTTAGAGATAAAGAGAAAAGCTTGGTTCAAAACAGATTTCCAAATAGTTCAGAAATTCAGTGAAAATTAATTACCAAACACTTGTCATGTACTATATAATAAATTGCCCCCTTACTTTACAACAAATACAGTTCTCATGTTTGAGACCAAATATTCACAATTAAACTGTACTTATTTTCTCAGTAAGATGATAATACTTTTTTTACATTGTCCCTTCGTTGTAAGTTTTTTGTTGGCTTTTTGAAATAGGGTACATTTTGAATCAAAAGGATTTTTTTTTTTTTTGGCAAAGTCAGAAGATCTCTAAAATATAGGAGGTCCCTGGACAGTTTTGTTCCTCGAAGACAGCAAAAGAATCCTGTTGCGACAGAGACATCCTGGTTCATTGTCCCAGTGTTTGTCAGTAACTACTAGAGCTGCCCCAAACTCCTGTCCAGGCAGCTGACGCGGGTGTTGAAGAATGCCCTCTTGGAGCCTCAAAGGTCTCCGAGAACACTTAATAAATAGTTCTCGGTGAGTTGTAAAAAACTGTGAAGAGAGAGCAGGAGGCCCATACTTAGCCTTTGGGTGCTCTCTAGGGATTCTTCAGCCCTTCACTTTTGGCGTCCCCTAGAGTCCTTGGGCACACCTGATTCCTAAACCCTGATTCTTCTGCCTTTAGGGCTGGCGTCACAGTGAGCTTAGAACGGGGGAGTTTTAAACTGCTATTATGTACCCAAGGGAAGAATGTAGACTTCATCCCTGTCTCCAGTGAGTCTGTTCCACCCTCCCCGACACACACAAATGCCTACACATAGGTACTGGGTGGGGGAAGATCATTGTCCTGGAAATATAATGGAATTCAGGAAATCTGATGCTCTCATGACTCTTCTGAGCCAGCTGTGATACCTTGGGTTGTGATATTTATTTCTTTGCCTCTTGAAATGGAAGGTTGTAGATGGGCACAGCCAACATTGGTAGGTAGATAACAATTGTGAATGGATAAGTTCCTTGTGTAGACAATTAACGTGGGTTAAGTGCGTTAGAGGCCTTGTTCTTACTAGTTTCCTTTTGTCATGAAAACTTGATAATGTCCCAGTTTAGTGATGTAATTTTGGCGAAATTAAGCTTGAGCAATTCAAAATGACGTGGTTAAATATAGCCAGATTTGGCACAATTATTCATTGATCTAAGGATGCAAGGAGACCACCAGCTACACCCTGGGAGAGTAGTTTGGTGGTGAGGAACTGCCGCTGTTTCTTAGTGTGCACCAAGTAATTGGGTGAAAGAGCATTACACTAATTTGACTAAATCCTTTGGTTTAGACCAGTTCCATGGGAATATCAGATCTCATTATAGGACTTAGGGAATAAGGTGATTTTTTTCTTTACTTTTACTATTGCAAGCTTTAAACAGCAGCTTTATTGGGTTATAACTTATGCACCATAAAATTCACCAATTTAAAACACACAATTCAATGCTTTTTTTGTATATTTACAGAATCGAACAATCATTACCACCATCTAATTTTAAAACATTTTTGTCACTCCCAAACGAAACCACCTGCCCAGTAGCAATCACTTTCTCTCACCCCGACCCCTAAGCAACCACTAATCTACTTTCTGTCTCTGCAGATTTGCCTGCTCTGAACATTTCCTATCAATGGACTCATACAATAGGTGGTCTCTGTGACTGGCTTCTTTCACTTTGCATGCTGTAGCATGTAACATTACTTTGTTCCTTTTATTGCCAAATAGCATTTCATTGTATGGATTTTTCTTTACTTTTTATCATAAAAATTTTGAAACATGTATAAAAAAAGGGACTAGTATATTGAATCTCCTAATACTCATCACCCAGCTTCACCAATTATCAATTAACACTTTGGCCAATCTTGTTTTAATTTTTCCCCTGATCCCACATTTCTTGAATTTTTTTTTTAAAAAATATACCTTTATTGATTTCAGAGAGAGGAAAAGAGAGGGAGAGAGAGAGATAGAAACATCAATGATGAGAGAGCCATTGATCGAGCCCGCAACCCGGGCATGTGCCCTGACCGGGAATCGAACTCCGATCGCCTGGATCCTAGGTCGATGCTCAACCGCTGAGCCACGCCCGGCTGGGCTATTGAATTATTTTGAAGGAAATCCCAGACATCATATAGTTTTATGTGTAAATATTTCACTTTGTGACTTTCAAAGTAAGATTTTTACAACAACCTTAATAACACTACCATGCCAAAAACTTAACAGTAATTCCTTAGTTTCATCACATAACTTGTCAATATTCAAATGCACCCTCCTGTCTCATTTAAAAAAAAAATTCGGCTAGTTTATTTGAATCAGAATCCAGCAAAGTCCTCTTCTTTCAATAGTTTTGATGGATGTACTTTAAGTCTCTTTTAATCTATAAAGCCTCGCCCTTGCTTTTTTTTTTTTTTTTTTTTTTTGCGCAATTTATCTGTGTAGGAATTGCATTGCTGGTTCTATAGAAACTTCCACTTTCTGGATTTGCTGGTTGTGCCCTCTTAATGTTGCTTTACATGCTATTTTGTTTCCCATATTTCCTGTAAATGTATAGATCTAGGGCAAAGGTCAGAACACTTTTTTTGGTAACAGGCCAGATGATAAATATTTCAGGCTTTGTGGGCCCTCTCACTTTTATTCAACTCTGCCACTGTAGTGTGAAAGCAGCCATAGTCAATATATAAATGGGTGTGACTTGGTCTGAAAAGTGCATTCATGCCTAGAATCTGTATTAGTTATCAATTGTGTAAAAAATTACCACAAGCTTAGCAGCTTAAAGCAACACACATTTATTTTATTTTATTTATTTTTTTCAACACACGTTTATTAACTTACAGCTTGTGTGGATCAGGAGTCCAGGCAAAGCTTAGCTATATCTTCTGCTTCTGAGTCTCTAGTTGCAAGCAAGGTCCTGGCTAGAGCTGTAGTCTCACCTGAGGCTTGACAGGGGATGAATCACTTCCAAGCTAATGTGGTTAGTGGTAGCATTCAGATTCCTGTATGCTGCTGGACTGAGGTCCTTAGTTTCTTGCAGGTTGTCAGCCAGAGGCCATCCTCAGTTCCTTGCCATGTGGCCCTTTCCACAGGATAGCTCACAACATGGCATCTTGCAACATCAAAGTCAGCAAGGGAGACAGAGTCCTCCAGCAAGATAAAAATTATAATCTTATATAACATAAACATATACATCCTGTCTTCTTTGGTATGTGCTACTGGTTAGAAGTGGGTTCTGCTCACACTCAAGGGTAGGAGATCACACAAATGTGTGTCACTAGGAAGTAGGGATCGTGGGAATTATCTTAGAGTCTGTCCACCACAGGATCCAAGATCCAGATGCTGGCAATTGATTGCCAACTCCACTATTTATTTCTCTTAGCCCCTTTATGCACCTATGAAAATGGAAACAGAATGATTTTCTATCTCATGGGATTGTTAGGAAGATCAAATGAGGTAAATTATTTTGCAAAGTACTCTACACGCATCCAACTCCTATCTACTTTAAGGTCTGTCTAGGCCCCACCTTTTCCATGAGGGCTTGGCCAAATCTAGTTGTCTGAATGAATCTCTCTTTTCTTATAACAGAAACTGCTTGGCTTACTCATAGTTTATACATTATCATATGCTGTTATGTGTCATTAATGAAAAATTCACGATGCATATCTTATCTGTCTGATAAAACTGAAAGCAACTGAAGAACAAGGACCTTTTTCTATAAATAATAAAATAGCAAACTTATTTTGAATGCATAGGATGCATTGGGCACTCTAATAAGCATTTTCTTATTTGTTCATTCATCTAACCCTTAAAACAACCCTTTGAAATAAGTTTTATTATTACTCTCATTTTACAGATAAGGTAACTGCAGCTCAGAGAGGCTAAGAAATTCACCCAAGGTCACACTGCTAGTCAGAGGTGTTTGACTCCAGGAATGGAGCTCTTACTTGTCTCATATGCTACCTCTTTTATATGGTCTAGAAAAGTACAATGTATGAAGTAGTTGCTTACTTAATCTTTGATAAATGGAAAATTGTGCATTGAGGGAAGACTGCACTAGAGAAGTCTAGAGGAGTCCACTTGCCTGCTGATGTTCAGGATGGGGGAGAAGTGAGTACTGGTATCATCATGTGCTTGTTGGTTTCTTTTGATGGTAAAAAATTCACCATGGCTACCAAATGGCCATATTCTGGGCAACCTTCTTTGGGGAACATAATTTAAGATCACAATCTCTGGTAAGTCATAGCACTGTGAGCTTACTGCAAACTGGTGCTCATTTCTCATGGTTCTCACAGTCATGAGGGGCTGTGTTTCCATTACGTCCATGCTAAGCTTTACCAGGCTCTCCCTTTAGAACATTCATCCTTGAATCCTGATCAACTCACCCATGTCACAGTGCTAAGGCTATAAGTTCCAGGACCCTACAATGTGAATCATTTGTGAGAATTCACTTCCAGTTCTAGGAACAAGACTCTTGGGAAAACTAGGCACTGGGCCAGAAAGAGAGAGTGACCAAGAGTGGCCTGATCACTCTTAACCTAAGCCTCGACCTTCAGCAAAGTAGAGAACTAAACCACTTAGGAAGTATTAGATGTTCTACCAGATGTTCTTTGGACCATGTCTTCTGTTCTATCTGTTCAAGCAGTGTCGTTCTGACTTTAATTTTATTTTTTTGTCATTTCAGAATGAGGCTGCCAGCAATTGGTCTGCCTTTTATGAAGAACAGTCCAAGCTTGCCAAAATTTATCCACTAGAAGAAATTCAGAATTCTTCAACCAAGCGTCAATTGCAGATCCTTCAGCAGAATGGGGCATCAGTGCTCACAGAAGACAAGAGCAAACGAGTATGTGAACATTCTAGCACTAATCTCAAGAGTTGAAATATTTGGGAATATTAAACATTAATATCACCCATGGCTGCTTCCTTTATCTGCAAAGAGTGGCATGCTGACATTAAACAGAGCTCTGGGTTTAGGTGGGGTGACCAAATAATTTATCATCCAAACTAGAATCTTTTTGAGAATTAAAGAAGACACATAGTAATTATATTGGGACACAGAGTTAAACTGGGATTGTCTGGGCACTGTAGTGTATATGGACAGCCTATACAGAGGTTACCTTCCTGAGGACCAGGCAGCCTGAAGAATACACTTAGTCTCTGTCCGTGGTTCTCAACTGGGGTTGATTTTGCCTCCCAGGGACATTTAACAATGGCTGAAGACATTTTTGGTGGTCCCAATTTGGGAGGGGTGCTATTGGCATCTAGCGGGTAGGGACACTGCTAAACATTCTACAATGCATAAGACAGCCCCAACAACAAAGAATTGTCTGGTCTAAAATGTCAATAGTGCCAAGCTTGAGAAGCCTCGTATTGTAGTCGAATCCTTCCTCCCTTTCATTTTTTTAAAAATATATCTTTATTGATTTCAGAGAGAAGAAGGGAGAGGGAGATAGAGAGGTAGAAACATCAATGATGAGAGAGTCATTGATCGGCTGCAGCCTGCAACCCAGGCATGTGCCCTGACCGGGAATCGAACCCTGATCTCCTAGATCCTAGGTCAACGCTCAACCGCTGAGCCATGCCCGGCTGGGCCCCTTTCATTCTTGACTCTTCTCTGCAACCTCTTTAACAAATGGCTAACAACCTCAGCTTAAACTGCTTTAGAGTTTGGTGATTCACCTCTTTCCAAGACATCAGTTTCATATATAGGTTCCCAAGACATCAATTTCATATATAGGTTCCTCTAATTGATGGACCAATATTCCCTCCATTGAACGGTGATTGACCTCCATTTTGTTCTGTCTTCTAAAGCCAAATTGCAGTGTTTAAATAAATGAAGGCAGCTAATTTTTTTAACTAGTTGAGTCTTTTTTCTCTAGGCTAAACATGGTTTGCTCTGTCAATTCCCCCTATACAATGGTTTTGAGTCTTACTTACTGTCTTCATTTTGTCCAAATCCTTGGATGGAACACAGTGCCCTGAGTTGGTTCTAGTCTGCATGGAGGTGAATAGCAATGTGACATTCTGCACCCTGTGCTCTACACCTACTAAGACAGTCTAGGACTATATTAGATTTTGTTGTTTGGTTGTTGTTTTTTTGACAGTCAAATTCCATGGTTGTCTCATATCAGTGTCACTGTCAATATATCAACGTCACTGTCAATGAAGTCTCCAAATGTAGGGATACCTTTTATTTATTTTTTATTTTTTAAATCTTCACCCAAGGATATTTTTTCCATTGCTTTTCAGAGAGAGTGGAAAGGAGAGAGAGAGAGAGAGAGGGAGGGAGGGAGAGAGAGAGAGAGAGAG